ACTGTAAACATTTACAATATTGATAAAGCATTTACAGGTCAGAGATCTCAATATGAACTGAATATAGATGGTAAAAATTGGAGTACATTTGACAAGAATATACTATTTCAGTATTTTAAATTTCACATTTAATTGAATGTGTTACTTGCCATTTTGTGTAATTATTTTATTGAGTAAATGTGTGTGTGTGTGTGTGTGTGTGTGTGACCCTGGACCACACAACCAGTCATAAGGGTCAATTTTTTGAAACTGAGATTTATACATCATCTGAATAAATAAGCTTTCCGTTGATTTATGGTTTGTTAGGATGGCTGAGATACAACTGTTTGAAAATCTGGAATCTGAGGGTGCAGAAGAATCTAAATATTGAGAAAATCGCCTTTAAAGTTGTCCAAATTAAGTCCTTAGCAATGCATATTACTAATCAAAAGTGAAGTTTTTATATATTTATGGTAGGAAATTTACAAAATATCTTCATGGAACATGATCTTTACTTAATATCCTAATGATTTTTGTCATAAAAGAAAAATCAATAATTTTGTTACTTTTATTCATCAAGGATGCATCATAAAAGTAAAGACATTTATAATGTTTCAGAAGAATTGTATTTTCAAATAAATGCTTTTTTTGCATTAAAAAATACTTTCTAGTCATCAAAGAATTTTGAAAAAAAACAAACAAATAAAAATAGGCAGCAAAAACACAACATTTTCAACATTGATAATAATAAATGTTTCTTGAGCAGCAAATCAACATAGAATGATTTCTGAAGAATCATGTGACACTGAAGACTGGAGTAATGATGCTGAAAATTCAGCTTCGATCACAGGAATAAATGATTAAAATATGTTCAAGTAGAACATCATTATTTTAAATTGTAATAATATTTCACAATATTACGGTTTTACTATATTTTTGATCAAATAAATGCTGCCTTGGTGAGCATAAGTGATTTCTTAAAAAAAAAAAAAAGTACACAAAGGAGGAAAAGACAAAAAGTTAGGCCGACTTTCCTGCTTAACAGAATCAGTGAGTCGGGAGCAGGTCTCAGGATTGACCGAGGTTAAAGAGCAACAATAGCATGTGAGACCCAGGGTCAAAAGAGCCACAGGAGTGATGAATGGCCAAGAAAATCACACTAGTTTGTGTGACTGTGCAAGTTTGGGTCAAAAAAGTGGGGGAAGAAACAGAGCAAAACATTTCATCATCATGTTTCATAGGACTTTTTTTTATGATATATTAAACTTTTATAATGCAAGGCTAAATCAATCAACGTTATTGTGGAAAAATGCATAATGAAGAGTCCAGTAAATATTTCTCTGGGTGGGTTTCATTTCTGAAAGTCAGTTTCTTTTCATTTACCACATGTTGCCACATTATATGGGGTAAGTTGTCACTTTAGGTTGGCAAAATGTAATACTGTATATCATGTTATAAATATTAATATGAAAGGTAACATGCATATAGTTTAAGCCAACATAAATTGTAATTAATAAATTATATATAATTAGAACACTTGTGAAACTATGAAAATGTGTTTCCACCATGGGATAAAAAAATAAATAAACAAAAAAGGTAAAAGAACAATGTGCAACTTTTTCTGACAATTCT